ATCTTGGGGGTTCCTTGTTATACTTACAATATGATATACCCTAGAGCCCTATTCTAATTGTCAAGGCCCCTATAATACTCCAAATGTCTGAAGAAGCCAACTCCAACCCCGAAAACCCTAAACGCCAGTAGACATATGCCTCAACAAGAGGAACCCCAGAATCCCAATCTCGACTAGGAGACGTACGCGCGAAACCCCTATAGGGGCCTTAACATAATTTAAGGTGTATTCCTTAATTAAGGGGTATTGGGTTCTCTGGGAAATTCTTCCCAACTCAGGATAACAATCCCAAACGGTCTAAGTACTTATATGGTAGATACTTTGGGGCCTAAAATACCTACGATATGGGTACTTAGACCCTTTGAGAATGGCGTCAAACCCCCCAAAACCTTAAATCCCAAACCCTAAACCCTATAAATTAAATCCTAAACCCCCTGCGCCTTTTCTGTGCCAAGGTCGAAGAGCTGGAGAAGTCCCTGCAGCGGAAGCGCGGGCTCCTACACCATCTTCCTCTGACTCGAAGGGTCCATGTACCGTCAAGGGATGCTTTGAGGGGTTGCTGGAGGGATTTTACAAGGGCTTTTGGGTTTAGGGTCCAAGGGTCCATGTACCCCCAGAGTATATACTTTGGCCTTAGAGTAGCACTGTTTGGGAGCATGGGCCCTAAGACGATGTTGAATCTTATTATGTCGACTACGATGACTCATGAACATTGCAGTTGCCATTGTCACACGAATTACTGTTCCGATGATGGCAGTGATTAGCCGTACTATGTACCATATTGCTTGTATCTACTTTCATATACTTCCTTATTTGGAATTTGGAGGTGCATATGGCAGTTTGCGCGGTGCTTATCGGGCTTTAGGATTTTCTTAGTTCAAGCCTTCCAACACCAAACGTTTCAGCATTCTGGATCGAGTATTCTGAATGTTTTAAGGTGCCCCTGGACCCTACTTTAAGGTTCGGATCCTATACCAGGAATCGCAACAAAAGCATCGCGCTTGCCGGTCTAGGCAAGACTAACCTAGAGGCCTTCATAATTACCAATACTACTTTTGGTGTTCCTTATATTAAATTTATAGTATAATGGGCCCCAAAACCCCGTTCTGATTATTGAGGCCCCTATATTAGGCTGCAGAAGTTCAGTTTCCAGGAGCTGGTATTCAGGCTTCAAGCTTAACTTGCCCTGCGAGTGATTGATTATGCGCAGCTTTAGGGTTTAGGGTTTAGGGCTTAGGGCTTAGGGAGGATTGAGCGCAATTGAGCGTGCGTGTAGTGCAGGGCGGAGCTTAGCGAATTAGCTTGTGGACTTGCGTTATGAATGGTCACCAAGGCATTTCTGTCCGGCAAGTGTTCCCTGCGCTGCCTCAATCTGTGCATTCTATAAGGACCCTTTCACCACAAGAGGGGTTGATAGCGTTTGAACAGGGTTCTTTTAGGAACAGACTCCAAAACCATACTAAGGTCATCCCGTCATTGTTTAAACAATCCTAGAAGCCCAGTGTATACTAGGGCTACGGCTACTGGCTACTGCAAGGCTTGTAGAATACATTCTGTAAGGAACAGTGGCCTTGCTTGATAGATGCATCGCGGACTCTCTAATCAGGCCCAGTTAGTTTTGACGCTGAGCACTAAACCCTTGACCCTTTTAACCCAAAGCCCTAAACCCT